GTTGGCCAGAAAGCTGTCTTCCAAATATCTTGTCATAGTTGTATGATTGCCTCCAGTGCTGCATCAGTTTGTTGAAAGATTTCAGTATTTATTCCATCAATTTCTGGAGTCTTGTTCTTTCCCAGTGCTACAGTTTCATTGGCTCTTGAAAGGGTTGAATATCACCCATTTCTTTTTGGTACATTGACTCTGTATTCTTTCCATCTTCTTTTGATGCTTTCTACATCATTTAATATTTTGCTCATAGAATCTTTCAATATTGCAAGCTAAGGCATGAGTTTTTTCTTCAGTTCTTTCAGCTTGAGAAATGCTGAGCATGTTCTTCCCTTTGGTTTTCCAACTCCAGGTGTGTGTACATTTCATTACAATATTTTACTTTGTCTTCTCGAGCTGCCCTTAGAAATTTTCTACTCAGCTCTTTTACATCTTCATTTTTATTTGATTTGGCATCTCTACATTGAAGAGCAAGTTTCAGAGATTCTTCTGACATCCATTTTGGCACTTTTCTTCTTGTTTGCCTTCTTGATGAACTTTTGCTTTCTTCCTGTATGATGTTCTTGATATCATCCCACAACTCCTCTGGTCTTCAGCTGAGCTTCCAGACTAGGTCAGACTAGGATAAAGGAGAGATGGACTACTTCTGAATGCTTAGACACGGAAAACCTTACGAATAAGGTGGAATACTGTCACATAGCACCAAAATATTTAATATCGATCAATAGTATCAGAATACTGTCAGATATACTGCTGAAAAATGAACCCCTCAGGTTGGAAGGCACTCAAAATATGACTGGGGAAAAGCTGTCTCCTCAAATAAAGTTGACTGTGATGATGTGAAGGAGTAAAGCTTTCTGAACCTTCATTGGTTTGATGGGGCACACAACTCAAAATGAGGAGAAACAGCTGCATACATCCAGTAATAACTGGAACATGGAATGTACAAAGTATGAATCTGGAAAAATTGGAAGTTGTCAAAATATAAATGGAATATATAAAGATCGGTATACCAGGCATTGTTGTTTAGTGGCATTGAGTCGGTTCCAGGAAGTAGGATTTCTGAGGAGTGGCTGGTGGATTTGAACCTCTGACCTTGCAGTTCAAACTGACATTGTGGGCCATTGTTTATGCTACATTGCCACACCAGGACTCTTAGGCATTGTTGTTGTTGTTGTTAAGTGCCATCAAGTTGGTTCCAACTCATAGAGAACCTGCATAGGGTTTCCAAGAAACAGCTGGTGGGTTTGAAGTGCCAACCTTGTGGTCTAGTGCTTATCCTATAGTGTTACACCAGGAGTGAACTAGTATTGATCACTTTGAATCTGACAGTCTTATGGTTTATTATGCAGAGAATGTCAAATTGAAGAGGAAATGCATCACAGTAATCATCAAAAAGAACATTTCAAGATCTATCTGGAAGTATAATACTATCTGTGATAGGATAATATCCATATGCCTACATAGAAGACCACTTAATAATACTATTCTTAAAATTTATGCACAAAACACTAAAGCCAGTCATGATAATATTGAAAAATTCTATCAACTTCTTCAGGCTGAAATTGATCAAACTGTAATCAAGATGTATTAATAATTACTGGTGATTGGAATTCAAATGCTGGAAACAAAAGGGAAGGATCCGTAGTTGGAAAATATGGCCTTGGTAATAGAAACAATACAGGAGATCACATGACAAAATTTTGCTAGATCAATGACTTGGTCATTGAAAATGCCTTTTTTAAACAACATAAAAAATGATTATACACATGAACCTTACCAGATGGCTTACACAGAATTCAAACTGATTATATCTTTGGGAATAGGCAGTGCAAATGCTCCACATCAGCAACCAAAACAAGGCCAATTGTGGAACCTACCATCAATTGCTCATATTCAAGTTCAAGCTAAAGCTGAAGAAAATTAAAACAAGTCCACATGAGCCAAAATTTGACCCTGAAAATTAAATATTAGCAGTGTATAATCAAATTAACAACATTCAACTTGTGAAGCTGCTTAGACAAAACAACATATAGAACAAAAGAGAAAGATGAATATAGTATGAGTTGATTCAATGTCTAGAAAAGGTAATGGATACCTTGTATCATCTCTTCACTCTTGAACCTAAGTAGAAAAGGAAAGTAACATTCACCATTGAATCCTTACATAGAAAGAGGATATGTGCTCATTTAAGGTATACTATGACCCTGGGGAGACCACATAGCACACACACTGTCTGTACTTTAGCAAAGGTGCAATATCCAGAAGATGGCAAAAACTCCTTTAAGTCAACAACAAAAAGACAGACAACCCAATTTAAAAATGAACAAAGGAGCTGAATAGGCATTTTTCAAAATAAGATATATCTATAGTCAACAAGAACATACAAAGAAGCTCAACACCACTAGTTACTGTGAAGTGTTGTTGAGTACATTCTGACTCATAGTTATCCTGCATAGGGTTTCTGAGACTTTAAATCTTTGTGGAAGCAGAAAACCTTATCTGTCTCCCACATAGTGGCTGATGGGTTTGAACTGCTGACCTTGTGGTTCACAAGGTTCTAATGGGTATCTTACAAAGCTACTGTGCTCCCCACTAGTTATATTACTGTTGTGTGCCCTCGAGTCCGTACCTATATATGGATTCTGAGGAGTGGCTGGTGGGTTTGAACCACCAGCCTTAAGGGTAGCAGTCCAGTGCTCATCCTACAATGCAACAGTGAAATGCAAATCAAAACCACCATGAAATACCACTTCATATCCACTAAGATGGTTATTATTAACAAAACACCACAAAATAACAAGTGTTGGCAATGATACAGAGAGATTGGAACCCTTGATTATGGCTTATGGAAATTTAATGTTGCTAAGCGTCTGTGGAAAACAGTTTGATGGTTCCTCAAAAAGTTAAACATATAATTACCATATGATATATTCCTCAACATACTGAAACTAGGGACTCAAAACTTGTGTACCAGTGTTCACAGGAGCACTAAATAGCCAAAAGGTGGAAACATTCTGAGTGCTTATCAACGGATATGTGGATAATCATATGTGGTATATACACACAATGGAGTATTATCCAACCATAGAGAGAAATAATGTTCTAATATACACATAGATGAACCCTGAAAACTTTCCCACAAAACTCCCTAAGTACACTGCTGTCATGTTGATTCCAACTCAGAGATCCTACAGGACAGAGAACTGCTCCAAAGGGTTTCTGAGATGGTAAATCTTATGGAAGCAGACTGCCTCATTTTTTTCCCCATGGACTGGCTGGTGACTTCAAACCACCAACCTTTTGCTTAGCAGCCCAATCCTTAACCCACTGTACCACCATGGTTCCTTTGGAAACACTATGCTGAAATGAAATACATTAGACACAAAAGGACCTATATTGCATGATCCCATTTATATGAAAAAAGACAAGCTTATTAGTAATTACCAGGAGTTTGGGCAGTGGAGAATACAGAGGGATACTGTTAAAAAAAAACTCCCATGATTCTATTCACTCAGAATAATATGTCAAGTCCTTGTTAACACCTCCGAGGTCTCCCTTGAGCTGTTCTCTCCGCTCATCTGGCCTCCTCACCTATCCCTAAGACTCCCTGAACTCTAAGCTGTCTCACAATAAACCAAAGTTGCATCTATCCTGGTACCTTTGTACTCCTTTGCCTTAAACTTTCTTCCCCAGACATCCAAACAGCTCTCACCCTACCTCAATGAAGTACTTGTCAATGTATTTCACCCAGTATAACACAGACATCCTGATCACCATCACTTGTTACTCTTCTAAATTCTTTATCTTGACTTATAGCACTGGTTGCAATGTGACCTTATTATATTTTAATTTTTATTTCCCCACTAAAATGCCCTATATGGATTTTGTCTGTTTTGCCTTCTACCGATCCCCACTGCCCAGAACACCTGGCAGATGGCAGGTGTTCAATCAATCTACAATGAATGAAACAATGTGTGCATGCTGGTAATTTCTCCTGAACTACAGCTATGAAAGAGCTCTGGTGTAGTGTTATAGGGTAAAGCACTCAATCATAAGGTCAAGTTTGAACAGCAAGGTTGGGGGTTCAAACTCATCAGTCGCTCCTTGGAAACCCTATACAGGGTCTCTATGAGTCAGAACTGAATCAACAGCACAACAACAACAACAGCAGCTATGAAAGTATGGACTTTTTCTTCTACGTCTTCCTTAACACCTATCACTAAGTTAGAGTGTGTGCAGGAGCTCAAGAAATATCTCTGGAATTAAAGTGAATTGAGGCCAATGATGTTTCTTTTGTCATAACTATGAAGTAATCATTATAACAATCACAGGCACACAGATGACAGCCCTGCCTATTGCAGTAATATAATCATCATTTCAACTAATTAACAAACCTACCTGTTTAGTATACATTTTAGAACATGCAGGACTCTTCTAGGTCATGGAAAAGTAAACATGAATAAGTTCTCTTTCAAGGGGTCTCTCAGTCACGTCACATGCAGACAAAGTTAATGTGAGATGGTATAAGTGCAATATACTGACAGGTATGAGGTACAGGGAGAAAGTCCTAGTGATTTGCTTTCATGAACATTGCAACATAGGAAACACTCCATGGCAGCTATACTCTATCATACAGGGTTGCTATGATTCGGGATCGACCCTATGACACAAAAGAACTAAAATTTACATCTGATTCTGGTCACAGAAAACACAAAAAACAATGTGAACACAAAATTTAGACCATGTCAACTATACTTACTTGTGCTATTAACTTAAAATAAACAAAGTGAGAGACTGGGTATACTAAATGTAATCTACATGTATAAGCCTACCAGTCACTCTGTGGAAGAAAGATGGAACTTTCTGCTCCTCTGAAGATTCAAAGCCTAGGAAACCCCATACAACATCACTATGAGTCAGAACAGACTTAACAAGAACGATAAATACAATTAAACTTAATGTTCAAAATAATTTAACTTAGTTAATAGGAAATCACTATTTACCTCTTCATAAACTTTCTTGGCATTGTCATTATCTCCAATCAAGAGGTATCCCACTCCAAGATCATTCTTTAAGGAAGTATCATTGGGGAATAGTTGAACTAATCTCTGTAAGGTCAACAGGGAACCTCTCATGTGACCTGATTTGGGGGTAAGAAAAACAATATAAATAAAAACAGACTATGTACACTTCTGTACTACACCTACAAATCACAAGAGGCTTCAACAGACCTGAATATTAGCTTAGATCTGACTTTATATACTAATGGGTAAGAGGATTTAAACATGTAGCTGCAATGGTATCCATTTCTACTGTATGTAGATACCAAATAAAATAATCATACATATTTAAATTATACTCTCATTTTCTGTATTCATCAACATTTAAATTTTAATGCCAAATTTCTTCTTTGGAAGCTTATAGTTTCTAATTTCTTATAAAATGATGGATTTTTGGTTTATGATATTTCATGTTAAAATTATGAATAGAAAACAATTTAAAAATCTAATACAGGGTTTATTATCATGTAAAATTTCAAAGGGCACTGAGGTATGCAGGATACCAATATCCAAAAAGAGTGCACAATAAGAGTACTCTAATACATCATCCAGTATTATGGGACCCACTGGTCAACAATAGGATACTGTGTACTACATCAATCAGGTAATCCACAGCTCCAATTCTGGGGCCTACTGTCATTATTTATTGTCAATTGGAGCTTGAAGAATACTTATATGACCTTCCCTTAGTGACACTGATAAACTGGGTATCCTTCCAGCCTGCTGACCACCCACTTTAGCAGTTACATGTAGTTTATACTCTTCCCTCCAGGTTTACTGATGATGTGCTAGGTGGGAAAGAGTCAAAAGCCTGTTCAGATAAAGCTAAGCAACAGTTTGAACTGCCTCTGGCACTGGAGACAAGGGTTAATCAGAGAAGATGCTCTAAGCAACTCTTTTCAAATCATTTTAAAGTTAGGTTGTGCTTAAATATCCCCCAACATTTTTCTTGGTGTTGAAATTATAGAAGCAAATATTTTAGAGTGCCTTAAACTCTTAAAATTCCTGTACAAAATTTGTTCCACAGATAGTTTCAACATTCAATCATCAGTTTGTTATAATTAATGCATGGCAGGACAAGCTTTTGATTCCAGACCTATTAACATATTAGCCATGGTTCCTTAGGTAAATTATCTCACCTTTTAGCATCTCATTTGTCTTACCTATAAAGGGAGGAGTGAAACTGCCATCTACCGTTTTGTATAGATTAAGGTTGGGAGTGCCTTCTCAGTTTAGACACAGGTCAAATTTATGAAATGATTAAATTATAAAATCCAGGTTTCTTCCTATGTATCTAACTGTTTTTTTGTGTGTGTGAACTGAGTGATAATTTATACGAGAGAACATCAGCTTTACACCATTGTTTCATTGCAATGGTTACAATCTCCTTTGTGCATCATCATTCAACAGTATTTGCTTCCATTCCCTCAGTTTTTTCTTTTCTTTTTTTTTTTTTTAGGGGTGGAGATGTATACAAAAACACACACTAATATATAATAATTTTAACAACCAAAGGGCACATTCTGCAAGGCTGCATCCTGGTTGCCAGCACTCAGGCCCTCTCTTTCCATGAGTTTAGAGTCCTCAGTGGTCCCCTCTCTCCATGTTCTCATCTCTGGTGTCATTGCTTCTCTGGACAGGGTCCCACATTAGGCTCATGCTCTTCTCCCTTGATGGTCCTAGGATCCTATGTTTCTGGACTGTAAGATTAACTACTCCCCTGTTTTTGTTACAAAATGTCTGCCTTTACAGTTGTGACAGTCACAATTAGTCATGATAACAATTACTCACTATTGAATCATAAGAATCGTAACCCCATCTCTTTTCACCAGACTCAACTAGATAAGATGAAAACTATTGAGTGGAAATTCTACCTTTCCCTGCAGACTCTTAAATTAAACTCCCTCTTGAAAACTTGAAAGCCAGTCACTTCATGCCTTTATCTCCCCCTCAATTTAGGTAGCCAATGTCTAAATTGCCCATCCCCATTGACCCTGTATACAGAGGGAATAGCAATGATACTTGATGTGAAGACTCCTTCCCTTTCAGTTGGTATTTTAGGCTACTAAAATATAGGTCAAGTTCATCAAATTGTAGCAATTTACCCTCATTGCCTTTATCAAAAATTATTTTATTATCTTCCTCTAGTTGATTTCTGATTATCAAGACATCGAGGCTAGGTCAAATGGATACTATCTGCAACTTTGGGCATTCTTGTGCATCTCCCCTCACTTCATATCAGCTGGATGCTTCGCTCTCAGCTGTAGCCCTCTGTGACTATGTCCTTGTCCATGTGCTCAGGAGTTACTTCAGACCAACTAGCCTTTCCTCTTCGCTTTCTCATCTCCAGGTCAATGGGAGGCCATGGAATGTGGTAGAACTCAGCCATTTCTTCATTGCTGCCTTTCCCACTCTTCCACTCACCAACAGACCAACATGGTTGCCAGCAAGCTTACATGCCTCCTCATGTGTTCCCATTGAGTTTCAGTCTTGGAGGGGTTTGTCTTCAATAGACTTGAATGCTTACCTTGATGGCTCCCTGGTGAAAAACTTGTTGGTTCTTGTAGTAGCCAACAATATTTCCATTTTTGTTTTGGGGTTTTCCTGCTGATCTTTCATTGAAGTTGTTACTTCTGTTACTCTAGGTGTTCCAGGTTGGTCTACATGTCCTTTCTAGTGGGAATGTCCCACTTCAGAAGGTTCTAGATGGGGTTCAGGATTCCGTATTAGGTCCTATACACTGCAAATGCTCTGCAAGAGGCCTATTTCACTGAACAAGTTCTAGAACCTCTTTTAGGTGTTCCAATCAAATATAGGCTGAAGACGAGCTTACAATTTTCTGTAATTATGTTTCCCGAGATTTCTTTCTATCCCACTCAAGTGTCTATTATACAGCAGTAGGCAAGGGAAACCAATATTCATAAGACAGTCAAGTATCTTAACATTATTTCCCCTCTTCAGACTATGCCTCAATCCCTGTATCACAGAGCCCTGTTGTTCCAAGTTTGAGCATATAACACTATTTACCTCTGTCCCATTTAGCCCATGCAAACCTGTCTTAGTGTTCCCTTCTCTACTTTTTTCTTCCACCTCCTCCCTCTTCTTGTGTATCGCACTCCCCTGCACCCAAAGTATGATGTGTCTACCCACTACGCTGTGCTCTACCGTCTCCTTCCTCTGTGCCCCACTAACATTCCCCTTAACCAACAAATATATATATATTTAAGTATGGGGATATTTTCTTAAGCTTTTACAATAATGGTCTTACACAATATTTGTCCTTTTGTGATTGACTAATTTCACTCAGCATAATGTCCTCAAGGTTCATTCATTTTATGCAGTGGCTTGCAGCTTCCTTGTGATTCTTCAGGGTAGCATAATATCCCATTGTACATATGTACCAAAGTTTCTTTATCCATTCTTCCATTGAGGGGCACTAAAGATGTCTCCATCTTTTTGCTATTGTGAATAATGCTGCTAGGAACATTAGTGTGCATATATCTACTCATGTTATGGCTCACATTTCTTGTGGATATATACCAAGTAGACGAATTGCTTGAACATAAATTATTTCTGCGATATGCAGGTGTAAAACCTTGCTTGATGAAAGTGAACAGGACTTAAAATACTTACTGATGAAGATCAAAAACCATAGCCTTTGGTATGGATTGTATCTCAATGTAAAGAAAACAAAAATCCTCACCACTGGACTAATAAACAACATTTTTATCAATGGAGAAAAATTGAAGTCATCTAAGACTTCACTTTTCTTGGATCAGCCATCAACACTCATGGAAGCAGCAGCAAGAAATTAAAGGACGTATTGCCTTAGGCAAATCTACTACACAGATTCTTCCTTCCATCTTCTCTTGATGCTTTCTGCTTCATTCAATAATTTACCCAGAGAATCTTTCAATAATGAAAGTTGAGGCTTGAATTTTTTCTTCAGTTCCTCCAGCTTGAGAAATGCTGAGCATGTTCTTCCTTTTTGGTATTATGATTCCAGATCTTTGCACATTTTGTTGTAATATTTGGGTTTATCTTTTCGAGCTGATCTTTTGAATTTTTCTGTTCGGATCTT